TCTGTACTGGCTCAAGCCTGATCTCAAACACACGGCTCCCATCATACAATGGAATCCTGCTGGAATCACCAACCATGTGTCTGGTGGTTTGCCGGCTCCTAGGAGGCAGTTCTGGCGTCAGCATCACTTGATGTCCCACGTGAGACACTCAGTTTTCACCAGGTTCAGGGTCCCCTAGCATGAAAGGTGCTGCTTTTCAAACGTTGTATCCTTTCATCTGGCAGATGACACGGCCTTGCTGCAGGATTCTAGGGTTCTGTGTTCCATCGCTTCTGCAGGGAATTTCCAGAGACTTCATGTGACATCTTTATCTGCTGTAGATACTTCCAGAACCAAGGGATCTTCCAGGACATGAGGCCCAAGCAGCAGGCCTGTTTGCCCCCCAGACGGAATCCGCTTCAGAGCCCTCTCTTGTTCTGGCCCCCAGCCAAAACCAGCAGCACTCAGCCAGCCAGGAAGTTGGTTGTAGAGGTGATCCCAAGCACGGAGTATGCTGCTTCCCAAACCAAAGAGGCTTACTAAGTATTGCACTTCTTTCTGCATGGGCCGAGATATAAGGCGAGAGAACTTGTTTTTTACCTTGGAGAGGATATTCCAACATGCCCCAGATGACTGGACTCCTAAAAATTGCAGCATTGTGTGAGGCACCTGAAGCTTTCTAGTCTCTCTCATCCCCTGGAGCACATATGTCCTACCAGGGCGTCTAGGGTATTTATCACTTCCAGCTTCTCAGGTTTGATGAACACAATGACATCAATAAAGTAGACCAGTGGGCTGTTCTATGTAACAGCGAACTCTTCTCACTGTATTTTCAGAACTAACATAGCCCTGAGACAAGGTCATAAATGTGCACTGTTGTCCATCTCAAGTGATTGCAGTCGGCTTCTGATCCTACTTCCTGATGGGTGTGAAAAAAGAACACATTTGCAGAGACTGTGATGGTCTGTTCTAGAGAAGACACTTCTGAGTCAACAATTTCCTTTGGGGCTACCACCTAATTACGTTTGTAGAAGTCTACTGTCATCTGTCATGAGTCATCTGGTTTTTACAGGGGCTAGACTGGTAATAAAATGGGGATGTAGGTTGGGCACGGTGGCTCATGCCTGTAATCCCAACACTTTGGGAGGCCGAGGTGGGCGGGTCACTTGAGCCCAGGAGTTCAAGACCAGCCTGGGCACCATGGCAAAACCCTGTCTCTACCAAGAAAACAATACAAACATTAGCTGGGCATGCGGGTGCTCACCTGTGGTCCCAGCTACTCAGGAGGCAGAGGTGGGAGGATCGCTTGAGCCTGGGTGGTCAAAGCTGCAGTAAGCCAAGATTGTGCCACTGCACTCCAGCCTGGGCGACAGAGCTAGACCCTGTCTCGAAAAAATGGGTATATAATGAAGACCACCACCCTTGTATCCTTTAACGTCTCTGAAGATTATCTTAATCTCTGCCATTCCACCTGATATTTGGTGCTCTTGTCTCTGATTGGCCACTGCCTGCTATAAGTGGTATATACCACTCCTCTTACTTCACAAGTCAGAGTCAAGTGGGGATATTGCCAGTGGCTCAGTGTGCCCACCCAGGTCATGGGTTCTGGAACCAGGATGATGACTACCAAATGAGTGTGGGGGAGCCCCACTGTAAGATGGGCCTAGGCTAGAACCCCATTTTTTCAACTCGTCTACATATGGTCCTACTAATGAGGGGGCATGATGACATTGGCATTGTTCACTCAGCTGACCTCTACTTTTTCATCAGCCATTTTTTTCTTTTTTTTTTTGGTGAGGCAGAGTCTCACTCTGTCCCCCAGGCTGGAGTGCAGTGGCGCGATCTTGGCTCACCACCACCTCTGTCTCCTGGTTTCAAGGCATTCTCCTGCCTCACCTCCTGAGTAGCTGGGATTACAGGTGGGAGCTACCATACCCAGATAATTGTTTTGTATTTTTACTAGAGATGGGGTTTCACCATGTTGATCAGGCTGGTCTCGAACTCCTGACATCAGGTAATCCACCCACCTTGGCCTCCCAAAATGCTGGGATTACAGGTGTGAGCCTCTGTGCTCGGCCTTCATCATCCATTATTGATGCCTTTGATTGCACATATCAAGCAAAAACCTATTGGTTGCACACGCACCTGGTTCCTAGGAACGCCATTGTGTATTAGCCCTATACTTAGGTCCCTGAGGGTAAGGGCAGTAGTATCATATACTGCTCTCAAAATCCTCTGTGCTCTGCCTAGTTGTATTAGTGTATTCTCACAGTGCTATAAAGAACTACCTGAGACTGGGTAATTTATACAGAAAAGAGGTTTAATTGGCTTGCAGCTCTTCAGGCTTTATAGGAAGCATGGTGCTGGCATCTGCTTGGCCTCTAGGGAAGCCTCGAGAAGCTTACAATCATGACAGAGGGTAAAGAAGGAGTAGGCACATCACATGGTGAAAGCAGGAGCAATAGAGGGAGAGAGTGGCAGGGGAGGTGCCACACACTTTTAAATGACCACATCTCACACTTTTAAATGGCCTAAGCTCACTACCATGAAGACAGCACCATGAAGGATCTGCCCCCATGATCCAAACACCTCCCACCAGGCCTCACCTCCAGCATTCGGGATTACAATCCAACTTGAGATTGGGGTGGGGAGAAATATCCAAACTATATCATAGGCTTATTCATATCATATGTCTATTTCTTCTTTTGCGAATTTTGGCATATTGTGTTGATACGGAGAGGAGACAGGGAAATAATTACTGGGTAGAAGAGGACAGTTCCCCAGCAAAGTTCCCACCCCCAAGCCTGGAAACCTATGGCCCTAAATGGGAACAGGCATCCCTTTTTTTGTACCCAAAATTTGCCTTTTGGCCCACCAAGCCCCCTATCCTATACCCACATAAACCCCAAACTCAGGTTCCACTAGCAGATGAGCAGACAAACAGAAGAGCGGAGGAGCAGAGGAGTGGCACAGCAGCCGAGGGAAGAGAAGGAGCGTCTGAACGTTGAGAGGAAGTTAGCTGGGGATGGTCAGAGAGATCGACCCTGGGACAGCCGAACTCCAGGGGAAAATCGTCTTCCCGCTCCATCCTCTTTCCAGCTCCCCATCCTCTTTCCAGCTCCCCATCCACCCTGCTGAGAGCCACCTCCATCACCCAGTAAAATCCCCACATTCACCATCCTTCAAGTCCATGTGTGACCTGATTATTCCTGGACACTGGACAAGAGCCCAGGTACCAAGAGGGCACCGAGCTGGTTAATACTTAAGCTGTCTGTGAATGGTAGAGCCAAAGGAGCACTGTATTGTGCTCGCTGGGCATGAGAATTGAAGACACTCACCCCCGGATGCCACTGTGGGGCCAGAGCCCAAAAGCATTTGCCCCAGTTCCTGCGCCTGTCCGTCTGTGTGCTCCCCCTCCCATAAGGGGTTTGAGTGCACATGTGGCCGAACAAACAAGCCACAACCCTGCCACATGTCCTGTGAGGGAGGTCAGGGAACTCTCCCATTTCAGTATCTTTCAAGGAAATGGTCCATTTAACCTAAGTTATCAACTTCGTGAGCGTAGAGTTGTTCTTAGTATTTCTTTATTACCCTTTTAGTGTCCATGGATCTATAGTGATGTCCCCTCTTTTATTTTCAATATTAGTAGTTTGTGGCCTCTCTCATTTTTGCTTAGCCTGTTTAGAAGCTTATCAATTTTATTAATCTTTTCAAAGAACAAGTTTGATTTTCTATATTGATTTTGTGTTTCCAATTTCATTGATTTCTGCTCTCATTGTTATCACTTTATTATGCTTACTGTTGATTAAATTTGCTCTTCTCTTTCTTGTTTTCTAAGGTCAAAGTTTAGATCTGATTTCAGATGTTTCTTTTTATCATTGTATGCATTCAATGCTATACATTTTCCTCTAGGTACTACTTTGGCTATATTCCACAAATTTTGATAAGTTGTGTTTTCATTTTCATTTAGTTCAAAATATTTTAAAATTTCTCTTGAGATTTCTTTGTTGATCCATGTATTATTTAAAAGTATGTTGCTAATTCTCTGAGTATTGAAATTTTTCCAGCTATGTTTCTTTTTTGTTTTCTTTTTGAGACAGGGTCTCACTCTGTCACCCATGCTGAAGTACAGTGACACAGTCACAGCTCATTGCAGCCTCAACATCCCAGGCTTAAGCGATCCCTCCACCTCAGGCTCCTGCATAGCAGCTGGGACTATAGGAGACTGCCACCACACACAACTAATTTTTTTTTTTTTTTTTTTTTTTTTTGTAGAAATGGGGGTCTCACCATGTTGCCCAAGTTGGTCTCTAAATTCCTAGGCTCAAGTGATCCTCCCACCTCAGCCTCCCAAAGTGCTGGGATTACACGCATGAGCCATGACATCTGGCCCCCAGCTATGTTTCTGCTATTGATTTCTTTCTCGTTTCTTTGAGATGGAGTCTCGCTCTGTCGCCAGGCTGGAGTGCAGTGGCATGATCTCAGCTCACTGCAACCTCCGCCTCTAGGGTTCAAGTGATTCTCCTGCCTCAGCTTCCTGAGTAGCTGAGACTACAGTTGTATGCCATGATACCTGGCTAATTTTTGTATTTTTAGTAGAGACAGGGTTTTGCCGTGTTGGCCAGCCTGGTCTTGAACTCCTGACCTCAAGTGATCTGCCCACCTCAGCCTCCCAAAGTGCTGGGATTACAGGCATGAGCTACTGCACCCAGCAGCTATTGATTTCTAATTTAATTCCATTGTGATCTGAGAGCAGACAAATGATTTCTATTCTTTTAAATGTGTTAAGGTGTGTTTAATGGCCCAGAATGTAGTTATCTTGTTGAATTATCTATATGAGCTTCAGAAGACTGTATATTCTGCTGTTGTTGAATGGTCTATAGACATCAGTTATGTCAAGTTGATGATGTTGAGTTCAACTATGTCTTTACTGATTTCTGCCTATTGTATCTGTTCATTTCTGATAGAGGAGTGTTGAAGTCCCCCACCATAATAGTGGATTTATCTGTTTCTCCTTGCAGTCCCATCATTTACTGGACAGCTCTGAGTCTCCAACGATTTATCAATTGTAGCTCAGGTTTTCCTACCCCAGTGCTGATTCCTGTGGAGGTTTCTGCTCGGGTGAGTTAAGACTCTGTACCTGCTTGTTTGCCTCTTCAATTTTGGAGGCAGTGGTTTGCCTTGTGACCTCACTTTTCTTACAGATCTAAGAAGAGTTGCTGATTTTTCATTTTGTTCAGTTTTTTACTTGTTAGGATGAAAGGGCACTTCCAAGCTTTTTACATGCCAGAATGGAAGGTGGAAGTCTGACTGCTATTTCTTATCTAATATTCTTTACTTATTTTATTTTTATTTTATGTATATTTTTTGAGACGGAGTCTTGCTCTGTCGCCCAGCCTGAAGTGCAGTGGTGTGATCTTGGCTCACTGCAACCTCCACCTCCTGGGTTTAAGCAATTCTCCCTGCCTCCACCTCCCGAATAGCTGGGATTACAGGCCCCCACCACCACGCCCAGCTAACTTTTTGTATTTTTTAGTAGAGACGGGGTTTCACCACGTTGGCCAGGCTGTTCTCGAACGCCTGACCTCAGGTCATCCGCCCACCTCGGCCTCCCAAAGTGCTGGGATTACAGGTGTGAGCCACCATGCTCCGCTCATTACTTATTTAGCAGTTACAAAACTAGAAGGATTTTCCTATTTGTTGTTTTAATATACAGTACATACAGCTTATATATAAGAAACATAAGATTTCTAAGGACTTTGACAAGTTTGGATGCAATCCTTGCTTCACAATTCCATTTTTTCCTGTAAAATATTAAGTAATTCAACTGTGTGTCTCCTACTATGGGAATTTTCAGGATCTCAAGCCTCATGTTCAAACAGATAACCCTGTAGCTTTTACATTATATGTGTGGGCGTGTATGTCAGTGGCAATCATAGTGCAGTTTGAGTCCCTTAATGGATATTCCTGTTTTTTGCCCCAACCAACTTAGCTCAAAATTTCCACACATACTTTTTTTTTCACTTTTAATATTTTAGGTTCTTCTTTCACATCATCTCTCATAACTGTGGCTATTTCCCACTGTCATCACCCTGGTTGATATTTAGATTCTTGCAAAAGCCTCCAACCTGGCATGTCTAACTTGAATATCTACTCTTTCCAAGTTAACCTCTATATTGCTCTTAGACTGTTTTTTCTAAAATTCGCCTTTCACAATGTCCTTGCCCTGGCCAAAATTTTCAGTGATGTGCAATGATCTCTAGTAGCAATCTCAAAACGTACTTGATTGTGTGTATGTCAATAAAAATATTTTGAGCATGTGCCCTAATCTATATGTTTTTAAATAAATTATATATATACATATATAATATACTCCTGTCTATCCATATATTTAATATTAGTTAAGCTTAACTTTAAAAATAAAGCTAATGATAAGTGAGAGTTATAATATTTTTTTCTTCATCCCAAAACATCACTTAGTGCAATTTTTGGGTCATGGTGTACGGGCAGAATTTTTTTAAGTTTATTTATTTATTGAAGTTTACTTTAAGTTCTGGGATACATGTGCAGAATGTGCAGGTTTGTTACACAGGTATACATGTGCCATGGTGGTTTGCTGCCCCCATCAACCCATCATTTAGGTTTTAAGCCCCGCGTGCATTAGGCATTTGTCTCAGTACTCTCCCTCCCCATGCTGCCCACCCCGCAAAGGCTCTGATGTGTGACGTTCCCCTCCCTGTATCCACGTGTTCTCATTGTTCAGCTCCTACTTATAAGTAAGAACATGTGGTGTTTGGTTTTCTGTTCCTGTGTTAGTTTTCTGAGAATGATGGCTTCCAGCTTCATCCATGTGCCTGTAAAGGATATGAACTCATTCTTTTTATGACTGCAGAATACTTTTTTTTTTTTTTTTTTTTACGGAGTCTCTCTCTGTCGCTAGGCTGGAGTGCAGTGGCGTGATCTCAGCTCACTGCAACCTCCACCACCCAGGTTCAAGCGATACTCCTGCCTCAGCCTCCCAAGTAGCTGAACTACAGGCACACACCACCACACCCAGCTAATTTTTGTATTTTTAGTAGAGACGGGGTTTCACAACGTTGGCCAGGATGGTCTCAATCTCTTGACCTTGTGATTCGCCTACCTCGGCCTCCCAAAGTGCTGGGATTCAGGCGTGAGCCACTGCAACTGGCCAGATCACTTTTTAAAAAATCACTGATGTGGGTCAGTGGAGTGCTGTCCCACTGTTCGTGGTGCTGAACAGTCACCGCACTCTCTACCTGTCACCGCACACTCTACCTGTCACTGCACGCTCTACCTGTCACCGCACACTATACCTGTCACCGCAGTCTCTACCTGTCACCGCAGTCTCTACCTGTCACTGCACACTCTACCTGTCACCGCACACTCTACCTCATCATTGTGTCTCCTGGCCTTTGGACATCGGAGATGTCTGTCTAACTTTTTCCCCTCACTGGGGAAAGCAAAGGAAACCTATAAATGGTAATCTCTATAGGATTCTATTTTCCAAGATGGAATACTAAAGGAGTCAAGATTCTCTATGCTGCATGCTGAAGGAATAAAGTGTCTTTCCCATGGAGAGAAGCAGACTGATAATGAAAAGAAATGAAGGGTTTAAATAAGTCTTCATATGAGCTGAATAATTCAATTTTGCTGTTGAAAAAACACAGACCAAAAAATGTTAAAAGAAGACTCTAATCCTCATATTTTCATAACTTTATAGCTTCATAACCAAGAATGATTGAAAACAGAAGAAGGAATTGCTGTCAAAGATTGTACAGTACAATGAAGTTGTACAGTGATGTTCAGGACTATAAATGTTAGCAGGTACATGAATACTTCTGTGACTGTTGGCTATTAGACACAAGACTGTAAATTTCTGCCTTGAGGATGATTCTGATGGTCTATAAAATGTCAACTGATGTTGTCACAAATCAGTGGTTCATATGAATCTCATAAAGATTATAGAACCTGCAGCACTTGTTACATAAATGATAAAAGAGTATTTCCTTTTTAAGTCTCCAGCTAGCTACATTTCAACTGAATGCAAATTAGAAAGCCTAAGTGATACCTGCAGAGTTGAAAAATACGTTTCTCGTCTAAATGAAAATACATTGAGAACTTAGAAAAACAGAATAAAAAAAAGAAAAATAGAATAATGTCTGTCATTGGTGGTTCTAACATAATGCCATGAGAGAATTTACAACTAGTATAGCAATTTTGTGTAGACAATTAAAAAAAAATTTTTTTTTTACTTTTTAATTTTTTAATTGGCAAGAAAAAGTTGTATGTATTTATAGTGTACAATGGGAAGTTTTGATTACGTATACATTGTGTAATGGCTACATCAAGCTATTTTACATATTGTGAAAGGAAACTAAACCTTGGGACCCCCAAATCACTAAGCCAAAGGGAAAAGTCAAGCTGGGAACTGTGTCAGGCAAACTGCCTCCCATTTCATTCCTAAATAAGATAGCTGCAAAGATGAAGAAGCTGCATACCCCCTTCACAATCTGGCCACAAGGAAATTTCTTGTCGGCCTCAAGATCTTTCCCCTAAAACAATTCTGTTTAATTTCACCCTGGCAATGTAAATTGATGACTTATTTTCACAGGTGTGGGACAAAGGACAGAACTCAAAGTCCCTCTGCTCACCTGAGACAAATGCATAGCTGATTGCTTCCTCTCCCCTATTGTTTACATAAAAATGTAGATTCACCGTGCCAGACTAACTACTCCTCTACTCCTGTCTCACGTGTAAATTGTACATACAGTAAAAGGGTGATCAAAGACTCAAAAGAATCAACCATTTGTCTCTTATCTACCTACAACCTGGGAGCCATCTCTGCAGACCACTTTAAAACTTCTTTTTTTTTTCTTCTGTGGCAATTTATCTTTGTTAAAATTGGTGCTGAGAAAAATGAAGGTTTGATTATGGGTCTCACCACCAATGCTAAACTTTGATATTAATGAATATAGTTTGTTGTTGCTGTTGTTGTTTGTTTTTTGTTCTTTGAGATGGAGTTTTGCTCTTGTTGCCCAGGCTAGAGTGCAATGGCACAATCTCAGCTCACTGCAACCTTCACCTCCTGGGTTCAAGTGATTCTCTTGCCTCAGTCTCCCGAGTAGCTGGGATTACAGGTGCCCGCCACCATGCCCGGCTAATTTTTTAAAAATATTTTTAGTAGCGAGGGGGTTTCACCACGTTGGCCAGGCTGGTTTCGAACTCCTGACCAAGTGATCTGCCCACCTTGGCCTCCCAAAGTGCTAGGATTACAGGCGTGAACAACCGTGCTCGACCTGATATTAATGATCATACTTGAATGACCCATTTCACTGAAAGTGTTCTTCAATATACACTTTTAGTATCTATTTCCGTTTAGTAAATTTTTTTAGCGCATATTATATGACACGCTATGTGAATACAGAGATAAAGGCAGTTTCTACACTTAAGAAATTCACAATCCAGTGAAGGACACAGGCAAGAAGATAAGTTAAAATCATTATGTTATATTGTCTGATAGATGTATAAGCAGAATAGTATGTCAGCACATAGAGGGATACCAAATCAGTGTATCCTAACACTAACAGAGTAAGAACAGTCTTCCCAGATGAGATGATGGTTGAGCTGACTCTTTCAAGGACAGTAGGCACTGGCTAGAGAAGCCAGTGGAAGAAAGGCATTCCAGAGTAAGAACGCAGTGTGTACAAAGCCAGACAGGTGTGAGGCAGTAGAGCAAGAATTGGAGGTTAAATGCCATTCATTAAAGGGGAAGGATTGAAGGATTCTGAGTAGTGACATGATAGTATTTGCATATTTAAAAAATCATTCTGAAAATAATTTAAGGAGTAGATTCACAGCCTCCAAAAGACGGAAATAATTTTGGAATATTACTAGAAATGTTGAATCATCAACCAAGTCATTGAAAGTGAAGATGGGAAAAGGAAAAAAAAAATTAAGAGGCTGCATGCAGTGACTCACGCCTGTAATCTCAGCACTTTGGGAGGTTGAGGCAAGAGGATCACTTGAGGACCAGCCTGGGCAACATAGTGAGACCCCGCCTCTACAAAAACTATTTTTTAATATTAGCTGGGCAAGGTGCCTCACAACTATCACCCCAGCTACTCAGGAGGCTGAGGCTGGAGAATTTTTGCTTGAGCCCAGGAGGTTGCGCCAGCAGTGAGCTATGAATACACCACTGCATTCCAGCCTGGGCAACAGAGCAAGATCCTCTCTCTCTCTCTCTCTCTCTCTCTCTCTCTCTTTTAAACAGGTTGTAGAATCAATAAGGCTTGAGCAATTAACTTTAGGGCAAGGGATAGAGAGAAGTCTCAGGTAATCCCAAAGTTTTGGTTGGGAAAAGGATATCAACAGCTGATCAAGGGAATACAGAAGGAGGAACATTTGGGAATACAGAAGGAGGAACATTTGGGAATACAGAAGGAGGGACATTTGGGAATACAGAAGGAGGGACTAGGGAATACAGAAGGAGGGACATTTGGGAATACAGAAGGAGGGACTAGGGAATACAGAAGGAGGGACATTTGGGAATACAGAAGGAGGGACATTTGGGAATACAGAAGGAGGGACAAGGGAATACAGAAGGAGGGACAAGGGAATACAGAAGGAGGACAATGTGAGTGTTGGGCATGTTGTGCTTGAGGTCCCTATGGGGCATGAGTAGAGATGTCCAGCAGGAAAACACATACTTGATTTTGAAGTTCTCAGGAGCAATCATGGCTTAAAGTGAACACGCTGAAGTCATCACTGGCAGCTGAAGCTCTGATAGGATCGCGGAGAGACTGTGTAGAGGGGGACAGGGCCAGGAAAAATATTTCAGCAGTGATTGGAGGAAGAGGAGCCATCAAGGATAAAAAAGTGGAGTAGCCACAGAGGCCAGAAGAAAACTAGGGAGCAGGTGTGTCATGGAAGCCAGTGCAGGAAGACTTTCAAGATGGAAATAGAATCAACAGTGAATAAGGAGGCTGAGGAAGTTTGTACCTTAGTCACTCCTGTTGTTATTTTTTGACCAATTTAAAATTTATTTATATTCTACTTATGTTACCTATTAAATTCAAAAATATGTGTTTAATACATTACATAAAACATAGCCATATTGTATAGATATTACAGCTAACAATTATGGCCTCATCAAGGCACATCTCTCCTTTTGTATTCTTACAGTAATGCCAGAGGCATTCTTTCCAGTTGTGCTTGAAGCAAAGCCTGGAACCACATAAGAAACTATTCCTGCAATTCCCCAATATAAAAATGAAATTTTATTCTATAGAAATGAATTCTAATGTATGACTGAGTGTGTCCTTTTGAGAGATACTTTATAATGCCATAATAAAACCACTTTGTACTCACAAGTTCAGCCGTTCAGGTTTTTATATTTGTCATAATGTCAGAAATTACACTGAGGTGTCCAGAGAGTAGCAATACTTTGAATATGATGGAAACGTATTCAGAGTTCTCAGCACTGCCTCATAAACATTGAACCTAAATAATTGAATGAGAAAAATACATTTTAAAAGGTTTATGCCATGAAAGAAGGTCACAGAATGTACTCTGTGTTCTCCAGAGACAGAACCAATAGGATATATAGATAGATAGACAGACAAGAGGGCATTTATTAGAGGAATTGGCTCATGTGATTACGGAGGCTGAGAAGTCCCACGACAGGCTGTCTACAAGCTGGAGACCCTGGGGCGTCAGTAGCCTGGCTCTGAACCAGGCAGCTGATGGTGTAACTCTCAGTCTGAGGTTGAAGGCCTGAGAACAGGGAGTTGGCAGGGGAGGTTGCTGGTATAAGTCCTGGAGTCTGAAGGCTGGAGAGCCTGGAGTTGTTGTCCAAAGATAGGGGAAGAGTATCCCAGCTCCAGCAGATGGATCAACATATGTGTCTTTTCTCTGTTGTTGTTCTCTATGGACCTCCTACGGGTTGGATGGTGCCTGCTCACACTGAGGGTGGGTCTTCCCCACCTGGTCCACTCAGACTCACATGCTAGTCTCCTCCGGAAACACCGTCACAGACACACCCAGAAATCATGCATTACTGGCTCTCTGGACATCCCTTAATCCAGTCAAATTGACATCTAATATTAACCTTCACACAGCATTTTATAATACTCTCAAAAAGAACACTGAATCTCACTGTGGGGTACAGGTCTTTTAGGACTACAAGACAAGTTAGTTGAAACTCAGAAATGTACTTGTTTGGTGTGGCGTGCATGCATGTGTGTGCCTGGTCGTTTGTGTGTGTGTGTATGTGCACTTGTTGGTTTTAGGGGACATCTGCCCAATGCCATATCTAGAGTCTAGAGTGCCCAAAGAGATTTAAATATCCTACCCAAACAGATTTAAATTTTAGGAGGATGGTCTATTCAGTTTCCTTCTGGTTTCTAAAGGGGAGACAGTCTTGTATCTCATATCTACACACTCAAACAAGATGTGAATGGAACAAAAAATCAACCAATTTGTTTTCTGTTAGAAAATACACGTAGGCTTCATATCTGTGAAGAGGTATTGTTTGTCATAAACCAACACTCACAAGAAATGTAATATTCTCAAAACTTATTTTGAAAAATTCCAAAAGTACAGAAAAGTTGAAAGAGTAATGCATATACCTTTCATCTCGATTCACTAATTAGTAATATTTGGCCATATTTGCTTTTTCAGTATATATGTGGTTACATGTGTGTGTGTACCATTTTCTTTGGACCATTTGAAAATAAACTGTAGCTATCAGGATACGTCTCCCCTAAGTACTCTGTAATCCTGAGAACAAGAACTGGTCTACTCATATTCAGTTTTTCCCAATTGTTCCCTTAATATCCAGGATCTAACCAAGGGCCACATTGCGCATTTAGTTATCATATCTTTTTAGTCCTTTTGCATCTAGAACAATCTCCTACCCATTTGTGTGTGTGTGTGTTTGCTGTTTATGACATTGATATTTTAAAGAATCAGACCGGTTGTCTTGCAGAACATCCCACAATCTGAATTTGTGTGTTATTAGTTCCCTAGGCTGCTGTAACAACGTAGCACAGACTACCTGGTTTAAACCAACAGTAAGGTATTGGTAAGGTCTCACTGCTCTGGCGGCTCTTAAGTCCAAAATCAAGGTGTTGGCAGGG